AGAGGGACATAATTGGTCAGGAAATGGACTCAAAGTTTGATAGTGAGAATTACAAAGGTAATGAAATAGATTGGTCACAACGTGACCAAGTAAAAAGGTAATGGCTCCCGGTAGGCTGATCACACTCATGACTAATTTCAAAGGTACACCATTTGCCCCTTCTGAGGGGATGGGTCCCCAGGGCTGAAAGGGGCTGAAGGGGCTGATACCCCAGCATAAAAAAAATATTAAATAAACAGGCCCGTGGGTTTTGAAAATTTTTTTAAGATTTCTTGAGATTATAACATAGTTAATATCCCTACCCGAGGAAATATTCATTCCTCATGCAACCCAACTCTTTCTTTCCCCAGGTAAATTAAATGGCGAGTTAAATTTATAATGGAGTTTCTTATTTTTTTTTTACTTTTTCCCCAAAAATTCATCATTTTCGTATTTTGGGTTTCTTTCTACAACTTCGATTCTATAAAAGAGTTATTTCTTCAAAAAGCGACCTCATTTTTTTTCATATTTTAAGTCCCCGTTCTAAAATTTTTGGGATTTTTTTTCTGTATTAGGTATAAAATTTTCAGAAATGTTATTTTCATGCTGCCCCTTTTTTTTTATTGTCTTGTGGTCTTTTCATTTAAAAAATCTGTGAAAACCCACAAGGAAAAAGTGGGTGAATGACAGGTGTGATGGATATGTGGGGCAGCGGGGCCGCCCCCAGCAACAGCCTAGTGATAGGCTAGCACCCGACGGCCCGGCCTGGCGGGGTTCCCGGGGGGGACTGTTGGGAAATTAAAGGGGATGTCAAAGGTGGGTGCTAGACCCCCAAAAAAATATGCCATAGCCTTGAAGTATAAACACCCTCAGGGAGCGAGTTGCGAATTCCCTGAAGTGGATATCTCTATATGACTGATTTTTGGTGCCCATCCTTGTATTTTGGTGTTTCCCTAGCTTTGGGTTGTAGCGCACTCGCTCAAATTGGTGTCCGTGGTTCGATAACCCGGGAGGGTGGAAACATTGGCGTGTTTCCTTACACCTGCTGTCCTTTTTCCAGCAGTAAGCAGGTACCTGGGTCTAGCCCATTGGGTTGGGGGCGCATCCTGGGGACAAGATTAATTAAGTTGCCCGAAAAGCTTGCTAAACCCGGGACTTTCTATATGACTGTCCTGATGCCATCTATTGTTTTTGTAAGTTGTATTATGTACTTAGAAATATTATGATGATTATTTTATTTCGAATTGTGAGAAGCTGTGATGAACCGCCCCCGCCCCCCGCTGCTGTTGTGTTGCTGCTTTTTGCTGTTTTTGTCCACAACCCCTGCTGCATCGTCCAACTTCAAGTTATAAAGAATTTCTTGTAGATAAGGTAATGTACGACCTGAGAGTTTTGAATTTGAAAATATTTGGGAATAATAGTGGTAAGGTCACTTGTGTAGTTTATATAGTATAAACAGTTATAACAAAAGAGTTCTGATATACAGAGCTCGTTGCGAAGCTCAACACTATTTCAGATATACCGTGTACTATGTCTGGGAGAGAGTTCGGGGGTCAAAGCCCCCCCGGCCCGGTCTGTGATAGGCCTCCTGGTGGGTCAGAGCCCGATCAACCGGGGGTTTTTGTGGGCAGCCAGCAGTCTGCCACACTGCATCCCTAACACTTAGGGAACAGTTTAAGGGGACCTGTTTTTTTTTTTTTTTTTTTTTTTTTTTTAGCACATTTCTTTGCCTTTTGGGATTACCGGGGCCCGTGGCGGACACCTTTGAACATGGTTCCACATAAAAGGGGGGAAAATTTCTTTTTCTTTAGCCCTTCCCCGGAAATATAATTTCCTATTTTTTCCGGGCCTTTTGGGTAAAGGGGCTCTTGGGCCCAAAAAAAGAGTTTTTCCGAGGCCGATTAGGGGGCAAGGGTGAAATGAGGCTTTGGGTTCCCAACCTGTTCTCCGTTAATTTTAAAAAGGTACATCTGGGTTTTTTTAGTAATTTATCCAAAGGCTTTATCCCCCTAAAAGGTTTTGGGCTTGCTCTAAAAAAATGAGGTAATTTTCCCTAGTCGGGGGGGAAGATAGAGGAAAAGCCAGTAGGTTGAATTTTCAGGAAAAAGGGGGAAAAGTTGGAAAATTACTCCCCCAAAACCTCCGGGGTTTAATTAACATAAAAAAGGAAAAAAAAAATTTGGCAGTAAAAACCGGGGACTCTGTGAAAATCCATCCAGGCTTTTAAATTTTAAAAACATTTAAAAAGAAAAAAAAAAGTTGAAGGGGAAAATGAAACCATAAAAAGATGGTAAAATTCCCCCCCTCGTCCCCTTTTTGGTTGAAGATCCGAGCCCCGAGACAAAAAAGGGAAACAAGAGGGGTTAAAATTAATTTCAAAAAAAAAGGGGGCAAATGTCCTAACCATAAGCTGGGGAAATTCTCCAGCCCCCTTTTCAAAAAATTTCTTGGGGGATTTCAAAGGCACCCTAAAAAAAGGAGGAATAGAAAAATAGAAAAAAAGGGCCTCTTTGGGGGGAAAAAAATCAACCAAAAGAGGGCTTTTAAATTTGGGGGCCAAAAATTTAAAAACAGCAAAAATCGCTTAACTAAAGGAATTTTATGGGGTCAAAACCAAAAACTAAAAAATAAAAGAATCGAAAGGAACCCTTTTTTTTTCCCCCTTCCAAAAACAAAAAACTCCGATTCCCAAAAAAATTGGTTCACAGAGCGCAAGGAAAGGGGCAGAACCCCAAAATAGTTTTTTGCAAGCCCCTAAACCCAATAAACAAACAAAAAATTTTTTTAAAAGGGGGCAAAGGGGAAAACAAGCCCCGATTTACCCGGAAATATTCAACGGCAAAAGACCCCAACATTTTCCCCCGGGCCAGATTGGAAAATCCGATGGCAAAAGCCCCCTTAATTTCCTCTTAAGGGGGAAAAAGGGGGTAAATTAAAAAAAAAGACAAAGCCCCTACAAAGGGGGGGAAAGGGAAAAAAATTACAAAAAGAAAGGGCTAAAAGAGTCAAATCTGAAAATCGTTAAAAAGGGAAAAGGAAGAACAGGCCTCGCTTTAAACTTTTGGATCCTTTAAAAGGTCAGATCCGGGGGAAAAAAAATCAGATTAAAAAAATTTTTAAAAGCCCCAAAGTTCTCTTTAGGGCCAAAAACAAAGTCGGAAAATCGGGCGATGGCCCTCTAAAAAAAGAGGGTTTCAAAAAGAAAAGGGGGCAGGCAGGGAAATTTTTAAAAGGACTACTGCCCCATTGACCCCATTTAAAAGCAAAGACCACAACCGGCCCTTTTGGGGACAAGAAACCATGAATTTTTTATTTAGATCAAGGGTGGGGGACACAACCAAAACTTTATCTGCGCCAAATGATTCAACAGGAAAAAATTTTCCCCAATTTTTTTCCCCAAAGGAAAAAAGGAAATTTTTCATAAGAAAAAAATGCAAAAATAGAGCCCCAAACCAAAAAATGGGAGGCTGCGGGGTCTACCTTCAAAACCCAAAAGATGCCACTCCAAAAAAAAAGGGGCCTTAAAAGGGGAGCAGCCCCCAAAAACACCCATATTTTTTATCTTGGGAAATCTGAACAAACACACCCAACTGAAACACCTAGTTACAAAAACCAGGGGCAAACGGAATAAAACAAATTTCCCCCTTTTTGGGCCCCAACCTTTTTTGGAACGAGGCGGGGGTTAATGATTTTAAAACAAAAAAACAGAGGGGAATATACCGACTTGCCCCAAACCTTCGAAACAAAAAATTTGGGACCCATCCCCCCAAAAAGGGGGCACTAAACGTTAAGGGAAAACAAAAGGGCGGGGCCCCAGTTTAATCCTCCCCCTACAAAGGGGGAACCACAGAGGAGTTTCAACGGAAACTGGCAAACACCTAAGTCGGTTTCCACAGCCCTTTGCTTACTTGGTTTTCCCTCTAAACCCTTTTACATTGACAAGGATGGGCAAGCCCGGGCCCCGGGGGCTTCCCCCTTTCAGGAAAAAGAACCGGGTCTTTTTTAAATTTAACCCCCTGGGTTTTCCATTGACCGAGGCCTTCGGGCACCCCCCCCCCCCAAATTTTTTTGGTTTAAAAAAACATTTAGTTTTTAGGAGAAATTCAATACTTTAGATTGGGGGGGGGAAACCCCGGGAATTATTTTTTCATTAGGTTTTTTCCTCAAAAGGCCGACCAAGGGGGCAACGGGAATTGGTCTTTTCCGAGATCCTAAACCTTCCAAGGGCCATAACCATGGGTTTTGCGCATCCCCTTGAAAAATAGTATAGGACCTTCAAAAGGAGGGGGTGAACCCTCCTTTTTTGTATTTGTTTTTTCTAAATTTCCTTTTTACTAAAAGCAATGGAAGTGAAAGTCTACCAAAAAAGTACAGGTCTTTTTTTTTTTCCGTCAATTTTTCGAAAATAAAAAACTATTATTGATGCTTGGGTCCCCTTAAAGGGAAGCAAAAAAGGCCGGGGAAATAATTTGGTTTTATTGGGATTTAGGTTTTTCCGAATTAACAAAAAAACTCCCCCTAAAAGGGGAAAGTTTTTTTGGGGGATAAAAAAAACAGGGGTGTAAAGGGGGGGTAAAGGGCATAAATAAGTCACCGCTTTTTTTTAAGGGATTTACAAAAAATAAATTAATTATTTACATGATAAGTTTTGGGGGTTTGTGGGCGGGGTGGCTCCGTACTTTTTTTTTTTTTATTTTAAAGCTTAAATCAGGGGTTAAAACCAAAAAAAACCGTCCACCAGGGCAAACCCCCCGGGGCGTTAAACCCGAAAATTTTACAAGGTAAACCCGGTTTAAAAGGTCAAAAGGACCCCAGTAAAGTTTTTTTACCATTCCCCCTTACCCAAAATTTAAAATTTTTTTTTAAATAAACCGGGGAAAATTACAAAAGTAAACTCCCTTAAATACTTCTAACACAATGTGAAATATTACATTTCAAACACATATATACTACAGTACTGAGTCACCACAACACATTTACCCTTCACTAAAAAAAAAAAAAAAAACGTATTTTTACGTATTTTTTCTTTCCAGTATATGGGAGTTTGGTATGAAATCCAGGCAGAGCCCAGCTTCTTCCAGAGTATTAAGTCATGTTTATCAAGCAGCTACAAACATCATGAAGGTCACATTGAGGTCAACTCTCAAGGCTTCGACTCAGCTGGGTCTCCAGTCTCCACCAAATTTACTTTAAGAATCGTGGATCCGGAAAATCCAGCTCATATGCGATCGAATTTTGTTCTAGGAGGTAAGTGCCACTTGGCTGTCTGTAAAATATTTAGTATTGACTTTATTTGGTAATGTTATGGTGGGTGATGAGTCAACTTGTTGAAGTTTCTGGGTGAGTTAACCTGGACTGAGGTGGGTGTCAGCACTCACTTGGGTGGGGTTTTTTTTTTTTGCAGGGATTGAGTCACAGCTCCTGGCCCTGCCTCTGCTGATCTCGACTAGGTCCACTCCCTTCTCCATGACGGTTATTTATTTATTTATTTGAACATGATACAGAGAAGTACAAAGGAATACAGTAATTAAGTGTACCTCTTCTTAAAGCTGTGTATGGCTCCTGCCTCCAGTACATCACTCTCCAGACTGTTCCATTTCCTGACTGAAGAAATGCTTCCTAACATCCCTATGACTCATCTGAGTTTTTAACTTCCAGTTGTGTCCCCTTGTTGCTGTGTCACATCGTTGAAACATTTGTCAGTATCCACCTTGTCAGTTCCTCTCAGTATTTTATACATAATATAATAGCAATAATACTATCTTTATTTCTACCAGTACATGTACAAGGTTAGGTAGGTTGGTAGACAGCAACCACCCAGGGGGGTACTACCGTCCTGCCAAGTGAGTGTAAAACGAAAACCTGTAATTGTTTTACATGATGGTAGGATTGCTGGTGTCCTTTTTTTGTCTCATAAACATGCTGGATTTCAGGTACGTCTTGCTACTTCTACTTACACTTAGGTCACACTACACTTGCATGTACAAGCATATATATACACACCCCTCTGGGTTGTCTTCTAGTTCCTTACTAGTTCTTGTTCTTGTTTATTTCCTATCTCCATGGGGAAATGGAACAGAATTCTTCCTCCGTAAGCCATGCGTGTTGTAAGAGGCAACTAAAATGCCGGGAGCAAAGGGTAAGTAACCCCTTATCCTGTATAAATTACTAAATTTGAAAAGAGAAACTAAAGTTTTTCTTTTTTAGGTCACCCTGCCTCGGTGGGACATGGCCGGTTTGTTTAAAGAAGAAGACATGTACAAGGTATACAGACCATAGCTGACATCAGTGACATACCGCTACATAGAAAGTCACTTGTCATGCAGAGCATTTCGGGCAAATTAGGTCAGTTTTGTCCTGGGATGTGACCCACACCAGTTCATTAACACCCAGGTACCCATTTTACTGATGGGTGAATGTAGACAACCAGTGTAAAGAAACATGCCCAGTGTTTCTACCCTCGCCAGGAATCTAACCCGGACACTCGCTGTGTGAAGCGAGAGCTTTAGCCACCGGGCCACAAGGGTCATTATAAGTAAGTAAGTAAGTAAGTTTATTCAGGTATACACAAATACAGCTACATAGAATTATCATACATAGCAGCATATGTGTAGAGAACCTAGGATAACCCAAAAAAGTCAGACAGAGTGACTTATTTCCACCATATCTCTCCTGCCTTCCATTGTTGTCAGTTTGAGTTCTCTTAACCACTCCTTGTAGGACATGCCCTTAGCTCCAGGACTAGTCTTGTTGCAAACCTTTGTACAGTGGTACCTCAGTATACATCCTTAATCTGTTCCAGGACCTTGGATTCATACCAGACAGGACTAAGTAAGTAAGTAAGTTTATTCAGGTATACACAAATACAGTTACATAGAATTATCATACATAGCAGCATATGTGTAGAGAACCTAGGATAACCCAAAAAAGTCAGACAGAGTGACTTATTTCCATTGGGGTCCTTTTACCTTATTATTATAATATAAAGGTTATAATATTTTCTTATTATTCTACAATGAAGATAACATCTTATTATCATACTAAAAAGACTATCTACTACACCAAGGTCATTAAGACTATCTACAATACGAGGGTCATTACTAGGAATAAGGTAAAATTTACACGTATGTTAGCTAAAAAATAGAAAATCATTCCCCTCCCTTTCTGTAGCTACATTCATCAGACACCTTTTGGCACTCTTCTTGAACTGGTTCATGCTATGACTGGCTTTGACATGTGCGGGCAGTCTGTTCCATTCCTTTATTGCTGTACAATAAAAGGTGTTTGAAGCCTGGCCACTGACTGTGGGTACTACAAAGTTGTGCTCTCTCCCCCTAGTACTATGATTGCTTTGGTTCCCAACCTTGACAAAATTGACAGCAAGATATTCTGGACATTGTTTGTGAGCAATTTTATAAACATGATTTAGCTTCAGTTTGTTTTACTCTGTCTTCAACATTCAGCATATCCAACTGCTGTAATTCATCCTGGCCTACATGTTCTCTTGGTCCCAGCCCCAGGATGAATCTTACGATTTTGTTCTGGGTGATTTGCAGTCTATCTTTCAGTTTTTTTGTCAAGGCAGAGTACCAAGAAGAGCAAGCGTAATCCATATGGCATTGTATAAGGGCTAGACATAGGGTCCTGCGAGCCTCAGTAGGTAGACACTGTGCTTGTCTATACAGGAACTTCAGTCTGGCATTCGCTTTCTTTACTACACTGTTCCCTATCAATTCTCCTGACATGCATGGGTCAAAGGGGATTCCCAAATATTTTACTGATGAAACCAAAGTGATGGGCTCCCCATTACACTGGACATTAAAATTATTTACCCTTCTCAGTTTATATTTCGTGCCAAAGAGAATGGCTTCAGTTTTCCCTAGGTGTAATGATAGTTTGTTGTCTACTAACCATTTGCTGCAGGACTCCAGTTCCAGTGTTAAAACATTAGCAATATCTTGTGGGTCTTTACCTGACACTAACAGAGCACTGTCATCTGCATACAGTAGGAGTTTGCACTTGACACTGATAGGCATATCATTGACGTATACCAAATGAATTTTCCCATAAGAAATGTACGTATAGGGAAAACGATTAATCCGTTCCCAAGAAAAAAATCCTATTGTTATTGGCATATTATACATTGATGGGGTATAAAATAATTTAAACACTCCTTAATGTACTAAAATATGTAATTTAAACATTGCTTAATACTAAAATACATACATAAATACAAAAGATTAGATGAAATGTAAATTTAACCTCACTTTGTTAAAAAGAATCAGGTGCCTACTAGGATAGTGCTGAGAAGGGAGAAGGAGGAAATGTTATTGTTTGGAAGGAGAGTTTCTTTTTCCCTATTTGGACCTGGAGTTTACCTGGTTGAAGCTCACCAGGTTTGACTTTTACTAAAAATTTGTCCAAAGAACATTGCTTCTGCCTTCTCAGGATGTTACGGATATGTGACAGTCTGGTCATTCCAGACAATGCTATTACAGCTTGTTTGGGCTTTGTTGGGGTGGTACTTCTCTGCAAAGTGTTTGACGTCTGTTAGGTAAAAGGACACAGACGTAACTAATGTGACATTTTATTGTGGCACCATTTCACTCTCCAGGAGTTTTGACGAAGCTCCTGTGCCGTGGCCTGGTAGGCAACGCTCTTTCCTCACACACTGAGTGTCCGTGGTTCAGTCTCCGGTCTGGTGGAAACATTGGGCATGTTTCCTTACACCTGTTGTCCCCATTCATCTAGCAAGTAAATAGGCACCCGGGTGTTAGTTGACTGGTGTGGGTTGCATCCTGGGGAATAAGTTTGAATTCTTAGGTTATCCTGGGTGACTAACCCTCTGAGGTTAAAAATCTGAACAATATCTTATCTTTAGTTTCAATCTATCCAGTTTTTCAAGGACTGTATTACTGCATTTTTGTCTGACCTGTATAATTATTGATTTCTGGTATTTATTTTATATTAAATGTGTCAGATATGGTACACATTTCGTTTTGTTGCTAACAGTAAGCTGACCCAAGTTATATTAGTGGGCCTGTTTTTTTTTTTTATTCCTATATACCTGAAAGAAACTAGGTTTTTTTTTTTTATTTTCTCTCGACCTTAATTTCATATTAAATTTTGGCTTCCTTTATTCCTTTTGGTATTTTTTTTTTTTTTTTTTCAACAAGTCGGCCGTCTCCCACCGAGGCAGGGTGACCCAAAAAGGAAAGAAAATCCCCAAAAAAGAAAATACTTTCATCATCATTCAACACTTTCACCACACTCACACATTATCACTGCTTTTGCAGAGGTGCTCAGAATACAACAGTTTAGAAGCATATACGTATAAAGATACACAACATATCCCTCCAAACTGCCAATATCCCAAACCCCTCCTTTAAAGTGCAGGCATTGTACTTCCCATTTCCAGGACTCAAGTCCGACTCTATGAAAATAACCGGTTTCCCTGAATCCCTTCACTAAATATTACCCTGCTCACACTCCAACAGATCGTCAGGTCCCAAGTATCATTCGCCTCCATTCACTCCTATCTAATACGCTCATACACGCTTGCTGGAAGTCCAAGCCCCTAGCCCACAAAACCTCCTTTACCCCCTCTTTCCAACCCTTTCGAGGACGCCCCCTACCCCTCCTTCCTTCCCCTATAGATTTATATGCTTTCCATGTCATTCTACTTTGATCCATTCTCTCTAAATGACCATACGACCTCAACAACCCCTCTTCTGGCCCTCTGACTAATGCTTTATTAACTCCACACCTTCTCCTAATTTCCACACTCTGAATTTCTCGCATAATATTTACACCACACATTGCCTTAGACAGGACATCTCCACTGCCTCCAACCGTCTCCTCGCTGCTGCATTTACCACCCAAGCTTCACATCATATAAGAGTGTTGGTACTACTATACTTTCATACATTCCCTTCTTTGCCTCCATAGATAACGTTTTTTGACTCCACATATACCTCAACGCACCACTCACCTTTTTTCCCTCGTCAATTCTATGATTAACCTCATCCTTCATAAATCCATCCGCCAACACGTCAACTCCCAAGTATCTGAAAACATTCACTTCTTCCATACTCCTCCTCCCCAATTTGATATCCAATTTTTCTTTATCTAAATCATTTGATACCCTCATCACCTTACTCTTTTCTATGTTCACTTTCAACTTTCTACCTTTACACACATTCTCAAACTCATCCACTAACCTTTGCAATTTTTCTTTAGAATCTCCCATAAGCACAGTATCATCAGCAAAAAGTAACTGTGTCAATTCCCATTTTGAATTTGATTCCCCATTATTTATCCCACCCCTCTCCCGAACACCCTAGCATTTACTTCTTTTACAACCCCATCTATAAATATATTAAACAACCATGGTGACATTACACATCCCTGTCTAAGACCTACTTTTACCGGGAAGTATTCTCCCTCTCTTCTACACACCCTAACCTGAGCCTCACTATCCTCATAAAAACTCTTTACAGCATTTAGTAACTTACCACCTATTCCATATACTTGCAACATCTGCCACATTGCTCCTCTATCCACTCTATCATATGCCTTTTCTAAATCCATAAATGCAATAAAAACTTCCCTACCTTTATCTAAATACTGTTCACATATATGCTTCAATGTAAACACTTGATCTACACATCCCCTACCACTCTGAAGCCTCCCTGCTCATCCGCAATCCTACATTCTGTCTTACCTCTAATCCTTTCAATTATAACCCTACCGTATACTTTTTCTGGTATACTCAGTAAACTTATTCCTCTATAATTTTTTACAATCTCTTTTGTCCCCTTTCCCTTTATATAAAGGGACTATACATGCTCTCCGCCAATCCCTAGGTACCTTCCCCTCTTTTCATACATTTATTAAACAAAAGTACCAACCACTCCAACACTATATCCCCCCCTGCTTTTAACATTTCTGTCATGATCCCATCAGTTCCAGCTGCTTTACCCCCTTTCATTCTACGTAATGCCTCACGTACCTCCACCACACTTACATTCTTCTCTTCTTCACTCCTAAAAGATGGTATACCTCCCTGGCCAGTGCATGAAATTACCGCCTCCCTTTCTTCCTTAACATTTAAAAGTTCCTCAAAATATTCTTGCCATCTACCTAATACCTCCCTCTCCCCATCTACTAACTCCCCTACTCTGTTTTTAACTGACAAATCCATACTTTCCCTAGGCTTTCTTAACTTGTTTAACTCACTCCAAAATTTTTTCTTATTTTCATTAAAATTTCTTGACAGTGCCTCTCCCACTCTTTCATCTGCTCTCCTTTTGCACTCTCACCACTCTCTTCACCTTTCTTTTACTCTCCATATACTCTGCTCTTCTTATAACACTTCTGCTTTGTAAAAACCTCTCGTAAGCTACCTTTTTCTCTTTTTATCACACCCTTTACTTCATCATTCCACCAATCACTCCTCTTTCCTCCTGCCCCCACCTCCTATAACCACAAACTTCTGCCCCACATTCTAATACTGCATTTTTAAAACTATTCCAACCCTCTTCAACCCCCCCACTACTCATCTTTGCACTAGCCCACCTTTCTGCCAATAGTCGCTTATATCTCGCCCGAACTTCCTCCTCCCTTAGTTTATACACTTTCACCTCCCTCTTACTTGTTGTTGCCACCTTCCTCTTTTCCCATCTACCTCTTACTCTAACTGTAGCTACAACTAAATAATGATCCGATATATCAATTGCCCCTCTATAAACATGTACATCCTGGAGCCTACCCATCAACCTTTTATCCACCAATACATAATCTAAACAAACTACTTTCATTACGTGCTACATCATACCTTGTATATTTATTTATCCTCTTTTTCATAAAATATGTATTACTTATTACCAAATTTCTTTCTACACATAGCTCAATTAAAGGCTCCCCATTTACATTTACCCCTGGCACCCCAAATTTACCTACTACTCCCTCTATAACATTTTTACCCATTTTAGCATTGAAATCCCCAACCACCATTACTCTCACACTTGATTCAAAACTCCCCATGCATTCACTCAACATTTCCCAGAATCTCTCTCTCTCCTCTACACTTCTCTCTTCTCCAGGTGCATACATGCTTACTATAACCCACTTTTCACATCCAATCTTTATTTTACTCCACATAATCCTTGAATTTATATATTTGTAGTCCCTCTTTTCCTGCCATAGCTTATCCTTCAACATTATTGCTACTCCTTCTTTAGCTCTAACTCTATTTGAAACCCCTGACCTAATCCCATTTATTCCTCTCCATTGAAACTCTCCCACCCCCTTCAGCTTTGTTTCACTTAAAGCCAGGACATCCAGTTTCTTCTCATTCATAACATCCACAATCATCTCTTTCTTATCATTTGTACAACATCCACGCACATTCAGACTTCCCACTTTGACAATTTTCTTCTTCTTATCCTTTTTAGTAATCTTTACAGGAAAAGGGGTTACTAGCCCATTGCTCCCGGCATTTTAGCTGACTTTTACAACACGCATGGCTTACGGAGGAAAGATTCTTATTCCACTTCCCCATGGATATAAAAGGAAAAGTAATAAGACCAAGAACTATTATACATGTATTTATTTGTATGAGTGTGTACATGTGTTGGTATGTGCATGTGTACAATAGTATGTACAGTTGTGCACTTGTAAATATAGATAGTGTGTACTGGTATACAGAGCCCCCCACTTTACGTAGTTTCACTTTACGGCATTTCACTAATGCTGCAGGTTTCAATTATACCCATTCTTCATTTATTCAGACTTTACAATAAATACATTCACTACTCGCTATAAGCTAAGGACAAAAATATTTTATGGTAAGTAATGTATGTAATGTATATGCATTTTTTAGGTCTAGCTCTATTGCTTGCATATAATACATGTACATATTGTAAATATGTTATCAGGCTTTTGTATGCATTTGAAAGTCAAAAAAAGACTATATTTCACTTTACAGCTGTTTAAGGTTTACATTGGTGGTTCAGAACCTAACCTGTTGTATTTACAGGGCCCTCCTATACAGCAGTAACCCAGAATGAAACCTGCTGTATAAGCAGGCCCCTCAAGGAAGGTTCCTTGATGTTGGTGAGGGGCTCTTGATTTAGGAAATTGGATCTGTGCTCCAGTTCCCCGAATTAAGCCTGAATACCTTCCACATTCCCCCCCCCAGGCGCTGTATAATCCTCCGGGTTTAGCGCTTCCCCCTTGATTATAATAATAATAATGTATAAGCAGGGCCCTCTTGTATCATTGAAAAATGTTCAAGGAATGGTAAACAAATGTTTGTAGTGGGTCATACAGCATGCAGGGTGTCTTAGGTAATCTGGTTTGATCCAAAGAACCATAGCAGAGGTGTAAAATTAGAAGGAATAGGGATGGTAAGGAATTAAATTGCATTTGTGTCTGGTACTATATATTTTTTTCCTTTCAACATTTCAGTTGATCCTCCCTTCGATGTTATTGATACCGACTACCAGAGCTTCTCATGTACTCACTCCTGCATCTCTATAGGGGGCATCAAGACAGAATTTGTCTTCATATATTCCCGTAACCGCACCCTCAACGAAGATAAAATTAAACATTGTCACAGCATTTTTGAGGTAAGCTTTGCTGTCTTGCAGTGATTATCTCTCCTTTAAGTGTACATCTAAGAGTACTCACCTACAGTATATGTGGTTTCAGGGGTTGAGTCACAGCTCTAGGAGTGTACATCTCTCTCCCTAAATACACACACACCACACACTGCTCCATCTCAATCTCCACCATTGTGTTGCCCAGTGTTGGAAGAATCTCTATACAGCGCTAAACCTACAGGTGTCAGACAATGCCTGGGGAAATGAAAAGTGGTCAGGTTCGATGCAGGAGAGAGCATTGTAGATCCAATTTCTTGTATTAAAAGGCCTTCAACATTAAGGTTATTTGCTGCTTCCCTCATCAGAGGGCATAGGAATAAGCTTTGTGAAAATGGAAGAAAAAGACACACACCTCAGGCTCAACCCACAGAATGGGTGGAGCCTGAACCCATGGCAGGTAAAGTAAGGTGAGGCAAACCGAGGAATTCTAAGAAGTCTGAAGATTGAGATTGAAGGAACACAGTCAAGAGGGGCAATAATTGAAGGTTTTAGCTTTAGGGTATAGAATTGTGAAGAAAAACAATGGATGGAGTTGGAGTATGGATGTCTCAATATCTAGTGTGGTAGTTGAGCAAATCGAGAAATGCAATACTGTACATGAAGGAGGATCATTCTAACTGTGATATAGGAAAATAAAAGTTGTTTTTAGTTATTTAAACAAAATGCAAAACAGGAAAAATTCTATCGAGCACATAGGTGTTCATGTAATTTCTTACATGAAATGTGATGAGGTTAACTTAAGACTGGCTCAGCAAAGGAGGTTTCTTATGCTGGTGAGAGACTTGTGATCCAGTGAATTGGAATTTTATTTCTGCTCCTTAGATTGAATCAGATTCTCCCATTTCCTAGGTACTGTATAACCCTTACAGGTTTAATGCTTCTTCTAAATACTGTATACATATATCCTGTACAATATAAGTTGGACAGACAAGGAGGAACTTGAAAACAGGACTATGGAATTTGAAAGGTCAGTCAGTCACTCACTTATGAACAAGAAAGCCTTTATTTATTTATGATAGCGTGAAAAGATTCACTAAAAGGATGTACAATAAGTGAATCATTTTTCAATACATAAATAACATTCGAAATTCATTTCACTTCAAGCACCTGAAGGTTGCTTACCCAGAGGTAGTCACCTGATCTGATTCAGTCTTTCTTACAGGTGAAAAGTGACTTTCACTCACTATAGAAGCACCTCAGTACTATACTTTGCTATAGAGAGCATCAGATGCAAGCTGAAATATTTAATTTAATTTTCTGATTACACTGGCTAACATTGATTTCAGTTCATGTTTGAAAAATGAGTGTCTGACTAATTCTGGGATGCTGAATTCAAATCTGAACTTAGTTATGCTCCAACATGTATGTTTTATGAAATAGAAACCCATAGTGAATGAGTACAGTTATTCAGGCTAAAATGTTGTGTAGTTTTAAAAATAGGTTAGATAAATACATGAATGGGTGTGGGTGGGTGTGAGTTGGACCTGACTAGCTTGTGCTGCTGGGTCTGGTGCAGTGCTCCATCCTTGAGTGGAGATGATCAGACTGGGTGGGTCATTGGACTAATCTAGGGGGGAGGTCATTGGTCTAATCCGGGGGGGGGGGGGTGACATGGACCTGCTCCGCATGGGTCAGTAGGCCTTTTGCAGTGTTCCTTCTTTCTTATGTTCTTATTTCACTAAGACATATCCATCAAGAATAAGAGATATCAGGGAAATCTGACAGCTTGAAGGCTGACTGCTACTGGATGCTGTAAATGTATGAATGGATATTTTTTTTTTTAACACTGGCTGTTTCCCACCGAGGTAGGGTAACCCAAAAAAGAAGATACACTTCACCATCATTTATTCCATCACTGTCTTGCCTGAGGCAATCTGACACTACAGCTTAAGTGCCTCTGCCAAACTGCAATAATGCCTCTGTCCTAAATAATATTTAAACATTAGGATTAGTTTGCCTGAAATGCATTACATAATTAGTGGATTTCTTTTTTGCCTACCAGTGTTTAACTACATATGTACTGCATAAAGAAATAAAAATTGTATTGTGTATCTTCACCCCTCCTCCAGAGTGCAGGCACTGTACTACCCACTTCCAGGACTCAAGTCTGGCTAACTGGTTTCCCTGAATCCCTCCATAAATATTACCTTGCTTACAGACTAACAGCACATCAAGTCATAAAAACCACTTCTTCTACTTCCTCCTATCTAATATACTCACACATGCCTGTTGGATGTCTAAGCCCCTTGTATACAAAACCTCCTTTACCCCCTCCCTCCAAACTTTCTTAGGACAACCCCTACACCCTCTAAATCATCCTATTTTGCTCCATCCTCTCTAAATGTCCAAAAACCTCAATAACTCCTCCTCAGCTTCAGCCTTCTACTCTCCAAACTATGAATTATCTGCATAACATTTACACCACACATTATCCTCAGACACAACATCTCCACTGCCTCCAGCCTTCTCCTTGCTGCAGTGTTTAAAACCCATGTGCACATCCATATAAAAGAATTGGTACCACTATACATACTCTGAAACATTTCCTTGTTTGCCTCCATGGATAACATTTTATGGCCTTTACAGATTCCTCAGTGCACCACCCACCTTTTCCCCCCTAATAAATTCTGTGGTTCACCTCATCTGTCATAGACCTGTCCACCAACAAGTCCACTTCTAAATGTCTGAACACTTTCACTTCCTCCATACCAATGTGATATCTAACCTTTCATTACCTAAATTTTTTGTTATCCTAATCACCTTTCTTTTTCCTGTCCTCACTTTTTATTTTCTTTCTTTTACATACCCTACCAAATTTGTCCAACTTTTGCAACTTCATCTTCAGAATCTCCCAAAAGCAAAAGGCAATTGTGACAACTATCACTTTATATTACAGTGGCACCTCAGGATACGAACAGCTCAAAACGTGAACAATTATGTAAGTGTATTTATGTAAGTGCTTTTGTAAGTGTATTTTTGGGGGTCTGAAACGGATTAATCTAATTTACATTATTCCTTATGGGAACAAATTCGTTCAGTATCAGCACTTAAACAGCCTTCTGGAACGAAATAAGTTCGTATCCCGAGGTACCACTACATTTTTTATCTTTCATTTCCGCACCTCTGACCAACACCCTAGCACCCACTTTTTATAATCCCATCTTTAAATATTGTAAACAGCTATGGTGACATAACATATCTCTGTCTAATGCCTACTTTTACTGAAAAATAATCTCTCTTACATACCCTGCCCTGGGCCTCACTATCCTCATAAAAAACTCTTAACCACTTTAAGTAACCACCTATTCCATTCACTTGCAACATCTTTCACATTGCTTCCCTATCCACCCTATTATATGCCTTTTCTAAACTTCCTTACCTTTATCTAAATATTGTTCACTTATATGCTTCAATGTAAACACTTGTTCTACACATCCCCTACCCTTCCTAAAACCTCCTTGTTCATTTGAGATCCTGTTCTCCGTCTTACCCTTAATTCTCTTAGTAATAACTCTCTAATGCGCTTACCTCATATACTAAACAGGGTTATTTCCCTATAATTCTTAAGACACTTTTATCCTCTGTTCCTTTATACAAAGAAACTATGCATGCTCTCTGCCAATCCCCCAGTACCTTCCTCCTTTTCAGACATTTACTGAACAAAAGCACCAACAACTCCATAACTATATCCCCACCTGCTTTTAACATTTCTGTCTTGATCCCATCAATCGCCACTGCTGTACCACCTTTCATTCTACCCACTGCTTCACATATCTCCCCCACACTCACAGCTGGCTCTTCCTCACTTCGTCAAAACATTACGCCTCCCTGTCCAGTGCATGAAGTCACCGCCTCTCTCTTCATCAGCATTGAACAGCTCCTGAAAATATTTCCTCCATTTTCCTAATATCACCATCTTAGCATCTAATAACTCTTTTCTTTTGTTTTTAATTGTTAAATCCATTTGTTTCTCAACTTATTAATATCACTCAAAAACTTTTTTTTTTATATTTTTAGTGAAATTTGTTGACACACACTCACCCACTCTCTCATTTGTTCTCCTTTTACATTCCCTCACCATTCTCTCAATTCTTTTCCTCTCCATATACTCCACCCTCCTTACATCATTTCTGCTTAAAGAAAAAAGATCATATGCTAACTTTTTCTCCCTTTTCACTCTTTACCTAGTCATTCCACCAGTCGCTCCTCTTCCCTCCCACACCCATCCAACTTTGTCCACAAACTTCTGCTGCACACACTAACACTGCATTTTTAAATCTAACCCATTCCTCTTTGACTGCCTTCTCATTACTTATACTCTCACTAGCCCATCTTTCTTCCAACAGTTGTTTATTTTTTTTTTTTTTTAAACAAGTCAGCCTCTCCCACCAAGGCAGGGTGACCCAAAAAGAAAGAAAATCCCCAAAAAGAAAATACTTTCATCATCATAGAACTCTTTCACCTCACTCACACATAATCACTGTTTTTGCAGAGGTGCTTGGAACACAACAGCTTAGAAGCATATACGTATAAAGATACACAACATATCCCTCCAAACTGTCAATATCCTGAACCCCTCCTTTTGAGTGAAGGCATGTACTTCCCATTTCCAGGACTCAAGTCCGGCAATATAAAAATAACCGGTTTCCCTGAATCCCTTCACTAAATATTACCCTGCTCACACTCCAACAGATCGTCAGGTCCCAAATACCATTCGTCTCCATTCACTCCTATCAAACATGCTCACTCACGCCTGCTGGAAGTCCAAGCCCATCGCCCACAAAACCTCCCTTACCCCTTCCTTCCAACCTTTTCGAGGACGACCCCTACCCCGCCTTCCCTTCCCTACAGATTTGTATGCTCTCCATGTCATTCTACTTTGATCCATTCTCTCTAAATGACCAAACCACCTCAACAACCCCTCTTCGGCCCTCTGACTAATACTTTTATTAACTCCACACCTTCTT